CAAACAATTGAACATCCATATATATAGGGGTGGGGAGAAGATCAGGGCTATTCTTATAAATTTCCAAAGCAATAAAACACAAGGGAAAAATAAAACCTATCCTTAGGTAAAAATCCAAAACTAAGGGCTGGGATTTAGCTCAGTGGTTCTGCTGCCGGCCTCGCAAGCGCAAGGACCCGAGTTAGTTCAATCCCTGGTACCAAAAAAAAAATCCAAAACTAAATCTACTCAATAGGAAAACATGGAAATACTAATATTATCATCACTAGTACACCCTGTGTTCATGGGTAATTAAATGTCTTCCTTATATTTTATATATTTTCCTAATCTTTATAATATGTAATCATTTCTATAATCAAAATGTGAACCACATATATTTCAAATAAAATACAGATGACTACAATTGCAGATGATTAAAAAAAAAATTATCAAAAAGTCAAAGTTCATTAACATAGCTTTTGGGACTCTACAAAAACCCAAACACATCTTCTCAATCTGATACAAAACATGTTCATGACGAGACAGACGGCCTGAAGCACTGGTGGTACATACACGACTGTCCCATCTATGCCTATGTAAAACCAGCAGTACAAGCCACCAGATGGGACAGTCGTGCATGTACCACAGGAGGTTCAAGCTGGCAGGAATGTTCAGAACTAAAGCAATGTAGAACCAGGCATGGTGACCCATGCCTGTAATCCCAGCACTCAGGTGGCTGAAGCAGGAAGATCACCAGTTCCAGGCACCAGTTATGGACTACATAAGGAGGCGCCGTCTCACAACAAAACCAAAACCAAACAAAACAAACAAAAAAAATCACACACACACACCAAACAACAAAGGCAATGGAGCAAACTACCTAAAGTCAGCTTCTTCCTAGCTGCCTAGCTGTAAAAACTAGGACAAGCAACCAATGTGTTTCCTCATCTTTAGAATGAGCTGACAGTCCCCTCCACCGTAGGAGTCTTGTGATGGTTACTGATGGTAATTCATAAAATTATCCTACAATAATATTTAACACCATGTTTATATATTGTATTATTCATGCCTAAGCACTCTCTCATCCCTTCCTGCACTTATTTAACAAATACCAGGGCAGTTTCCTAGCAGATTTAGCCAATAAATAAAGAAAATATCTTCTCTCCCAAGAAGAGAAGACATTGGGGAAGAAAGGATGCCAAGTTCTAGTCAGATAAGACTCTGCTGCCTGGAGCCAAAGGGTCATTTGCTCCTCCTACAGCCTTTCCCAAGTGGAGGCTGGAAAAGTAAAAGAGGAGAGAAAGCAGAACTTTATCAGGACTTCCCCATAAATTACAATGGACATCCCAGACAACAGCTGGGAGTGACCCTCTCAACGAAAAGAATAAAGTCATTCATATCTGGGATTCTGGTACAGCCCCACTTCCTTCAAGGATCAGAGAGGCCAGCGAGGCTGCAACTGGAGTTCTGACCCCATCCTAAGTACACTGAAGCTTCCAGGGAACTGAGTGCTTCTCAAAACTTTACAGAGTACTAGTGACAACTGCCCTACCGTCTCTTCTACCACGCGCCTGACTCTTCTCAAACTCACTCTTAGGAGCCAGGCGTGGTGGTGCACGCCTGTAATCCTTGCACTCTGGGAGGCTGAGGCAGGAGAATTATGTTCATGTCCAGCCTGAGCAAGGTATCGAGGAGAGTATGGATGGGTTGTAGCTCAGTGCAAAGGCCCAGGGTTCAACGTCCTGTACAGTAAATACTTGGTAGGTACTAATACCATTTTAAAGAAGAGCAAAAGTCAACTAGTATTCTTTTGGGAAATGGCAAAGTTGGCTATGGTCAGCAGAGAGTTGGGGACGTACAGAGCCCAGAAGACACTTCATCCCCGTCCCGTACGACGCTGGTCCCGGCCCGAGCGGGGATGCGCCAGCCGCCCCACACTGTCAAAGTCCATTCAAAGGGACCACAAACCCCACCTTTCCCCGCAGGCGTATTCTCTTCCCCCAGGTCCCTCGTCTGGTTGCCACCGGCCCCAGGTAAAGGACGAAAGATCTGCACGGGCGCCGGGAGCAAATGCGCCGAGGGGAGGGCTCACCTTTCGGCGAGAAGCGCAGGCCTCGGCCTCGCATACCTGGGGCGGAAGTGGGCTCCGCCGCCGAGTGCATCTGGACTATGCTTCCCAGAATTCCCGACGGGAGCAGGGCCGCAGCCTCGGCCTCCGGTAGGGGAAATTTCGGCTACCCAGCGTTCCCAGACTACACTTCCCAGAATTCCTTGTTCCCCGTTAACTTCCCAGAGCGGAAGTAATAGCTGCTAGAAACCCTGAATTATTTCACAGGCTGCCCCTCAGGAATGGGTTCCCCGGCTCCGCTTACCTGCTGACAAAATCTTCCAAACACAGATAATGCTGACGTATTGTATACTTCTCTATATCCTCCTGCAGATTGCGCATTAAAGGCGCTTTTCCTAGAGCCTGTCTGTGACCATGTGAGTCTTCTGGACTACACTCCCCGGAATCTCCTGCCCGACAGCCCTTACAACGAGGCTGGATAGCGTTTGGATAATCACCGTAGTCTTGGATGGCCAATCTGAATTAATTCTAGACTACTAGTGGAGCTGAGCTGTCCTCACCCCAACCCCTTTCTTAAAAATTCTTTCAAACGTGCCAAACACCCAAGTAAACTCAATCAAAGCACACTACCTACCTATTCCAAGAAAATGCCCTATAAAAGAGAAAGAGGCTTGAAAAAGTAAAGCAGGTTATTAAAAAGGAAATGATGCATGAGCTAATAATGCAGATACTGAAAGGAAACTGGCTTGCACTAGGTGCTGAATTTAAGGAATGCAAGATCTCAACCTTACTTTGATTGGATTGCCTTTTTCATTCTCTTTCAACATGGGTGCATGGAGAACTCGACCATGGAACTGCTACCTACAATAAAGTGTTACTTCCAGAATCTTCAAGATTTGAACGTAGGTGCCAAGAATTAAAATACAACAACAAAACGCCCACAGATGGAACCGTTAATGGGCCTATAAAGCAGCAACAGCAAATTTTTCCCATTTTTCTTGGCTTTAACTGCTAATTATGAGATGTGAGTCAGAACGCAAAGGGAAAGGCTTACAACATTGATACAAATGTTACAACACTGGAAGGATATATCCTTTATGAAATCTTGAAATTTTTTCTTCTTGGAACTTCTACTGTCACATCACCTATTTTCATCCTGTTCTTGATAGAATAAATACTGTTAGTTGCTAATGGAAGGCAGGAGGATTTGCAGGACAGTGAATGAGGTCATGGCTCAATCTTGTTTAAACCATGTGTGTTCATAATTACTCAGGACAAGGGGAGGGATATAGGTGGAAGTGGTAAATAACTATATGGAGTCTAGATAACTACATCAAGTGAATCTACAGATAGCATGTATTTAACACTTTCTTCTGGGTAGGCAATACATTTTGATATGAAACCTCTAAAAATTATAAAAAGTATTGAGAATAGTGACATAAAACACCAAATCCACTCACCCTAAATTCAACACATCACCATTTTGCCTTTTGTTACCAAACATTTTAGATCAAATCTTTGACATAATTTCCTCCCAAGTACAAAATATAAATAGCAATATTGCAGGGCACGGTGGCACACATCTGTAATCTCAACACAGAGACAAAAGCAGGAGGATCGCAAGTTTGAGTCCAGCCTAGGCAACTTAGCTAAGACCATCTCAAAAAACAAAAACTAAAAAAAGGTTGAGGCGGTTAACTCATGTAGGGAAAAATGAACGGCTAACACAGCTACAATTGGGTTCAGGCTGTGGGGTGGGGGGTGGTGATTTTCCGTGGTCATTAAATCCAAGTCAGCAAGCTTTCACCAAAGGCACACCTCGGTGGTCTCAGTGTAAATAACTGATATAATCAAGGTCGATGGTGGCTGGTATAAATAACTTATACAACCATGGTTGTCACTGGCACATGGCCACTATTGTGTGTCTTCGTATAAATGTAGATTGGGCTGGGGATTTAGCTCAGTGGCTCCGCCACCAGCCTTGCAAGCTCAAGGTCCTGAGTTCGATCACCGGTACAAAAAAAAAAAAAAAAAAGTAGACTGCCATGAGGGCTGGCAGGAAACTAGCCAAGGATTGCCACACCAGTGCATGCAACTGAGCAGCACCAGAGAATAAAGGCACATTCAGACATGTCCAGATTCTCTGTCTCTTCTTTGGGCTGCCCAAATCTCATGTGAACCTCTCCAGTCTGAACTGGTGACCAGACAACTCAGTGTGAAGGCCCTCATTACCTTATGAAACCAAATTAACAATTTTTGGTCTTACCTAATAGGCATCCCAATTTGAATTCCTGTTTACTGAAAATATGCATAGTTTATCTCAACTAATGTCTAAATAATCCAAAGTATACTACAATTCTTTAGGAAAGTTGATATAAAAGTGTATCCTCTAAAAATCCTTTATCATCCAAGACTACTGAAAGGATTGTGTTGGTCTGCTTCTGACAAGGAACACTATTGGTCTTCTAAAAGTAGTCGCTCACTTTAGTGTTAGTTATATAATTAATTTTATCAAGATTCATTGCAGGGTACCTGCAATGTGAAATTTTTACTTTAGGTGTTAGCTGACAAATTTGTATGCCATCACACATTACAGAATTTCTCTACTGCATAGGATTTATGTCTGTAGACTGCACCTTTGTATACCACCTAGAACATCTTTCTTTTGTATATATACCAATGAATGATGATTCTCACTAAAGAAGTCTCATCCATACATCTAAAGGTTAGATAGCTTCAGTTCTACATCAAGCCTTAATGACTTAAAAGTTCTGAACTCTGAATTGTACAGTATTACTATCCAGTGATGGCAATGTGTTGCTATTAAATCCCTCTATATTAGTTAGGATAGCTCAGGCAATGTCATAGTTACAAATAAACCACCAGAAGATTTCAGTGGTGTAATGTAATACATGTTTATTTCTTATTAAAAGAAAAAATCCAACATGGATGAGACAGCAAGCCAGTGTGGAACAAGCAGCCTCCAGGGGCACCTTGGTAGGAAAAGAGAAACCTTAGGACATCACAAGATGCTCAGTAAAAGCCTGTTACGGCTTGTATCTAGATGTCCCCCCAAAGCCTCGTATGGTCATAGGTGGAGCTTTTCAGAGATGGCTGGATCCAGAGTGTGTGATGCTGAGATTAAGGATGTGATGCTGGGATTGATTCATAGTGATGCTAGGCTTAAGGGTGCTGTTGTGCCAAGTGAGCCGGTAAATCATCAAACACCAGGACCAATGACAAAGTTAAACTGAAAGGAGTTTATTCACGCACGTGGACTCCACTCCCTAAGTGAAGTGAAGTCCTGAGTCCTGGAACAGCACAGTTTATATAGGATGTTATAGCAGCATAGCTTTTATAGGTGTTATTTTAAGAAGACAAGTTCAAGGGAAGGTTAACATGTTTTTGACTAGTTGCAAAAATATTTTTCATAAGTCAGCTATCTTGTTATCTTGTCAGATTAGGGCACTTTACAGTAAAGGGAGGGCACCAGGCACTACCTCTTTCCGAGAAGCAATGGAGCAAGTTTACAGAAGCAGAACAAGCAGTTATGAATACATCTACTTTATAAGGGAGGGGTATGAGGAGAGTTCATCTACAGGCCAAGATGGAGTTTTGTAAGTTGGCGTTTCGTGGGTACATTCTGGTCTCACAGGTGCCCCAACCTGGGTATGAATATAAGGGACAGAAAGAGGACTGCTGTTGTCACTTGCTGCTTCACTGCTTTGGTGCCTTCTGCCTGCCCTTCCAGGCCATGAACTGTTTCTCCTCTGCACTGCTCCTCTGCCATGCCATGATGCCTTTGAGCTAGCCAACTATGGACTGAACCGTGAGCTGAAATAAACCTTTTTTCCTCTAACTTTGGGTGTCAGGTATTTTGTCTCAGCAACAAAAAAGTAATTAAGACAGGGCTAAAACTTTTGGAAGTGGCTTAAACTACTTTTGCTCACACTCCACTGGCTAGAACTCACTCTTAACTGAAAAGGTTGCCGGGAAAGAGCATCTTCTTAGGACTAAGGAAACAGAACCAGTATAATAAACACATAGCACTGTCTTTGCTATAACCTCCAAATATCATTTTACAGTGCTTGTCTCCTAGGTAGAAAATCTAATGGGCATGAAAACATGAGGATGGATGCTCTTACCAATTAGCATGGGTTTCATTTCTGAGCACAGTTTAGGATGTTTACATAAAAAGTATCTATTTAGTGGTGATGCTTGGAAAAATAAAAAAACCTAAAACCTTTGGGTGGACTGAAAACTTACTGTACTCATCCCAACTAGAACTTCCTTCCTGGACACATCCTTTAATGAAAAATTGACCTGTTTCCACTGCTACACATTTGTCAAGAATCACTTACTTTGCCACTGCAGTATATAGCAGTTGACTGGAGTTCACAGAGGTTCTTGAGACCCACAGTAGCCGTGTGGCATGCTCTTAAGAACCTGCCCTGGTGCTGCTGGTTGACATCTCGGATGGCAGAGTCCCTGTGTTCTGCCCCCCAGGATCCTCTCAATGGCTGAGTAAGCCTCAGTCGTGTGGATGCAGAGTGGCTTCTGTCTTCATGATTGAATCTCAAGTTTCTACATTTATAATGTTTCTGTCCTCTTATACAGTCTTCCACGAGGGAGACGTTTTGAGCTGTAATGAAAGCCCTTCCCACTCTCATACCATGGATATCGCATTTCATCTACATGTACTCTCTGATGGGCACAAAGATAGGAGTTGTGACTGAAGCCCTTTCCACATTCTTTACACTTACAGGGCCTCTCTCCCATGTGGCCTCTGAGATGAACACGAAGATCTGAATTCCGACTGAAGCCCTTTACAAATTCATCACATTTATATGGTTTTTCTCTAGTGTGAACCCTCTGATGAGTGTGAAGAACCGAACTGTACACAAAATCCTTTCCCCACACATTGTATCTGTAGGGCTTCTCCCCGTATGCAACCTCCGTGCACCTGAAGAACATTTGGAGCTTGAACTAAAAAGCACTTGCCACACTTGCTGCATTTGTAGGGTTTCTCTCAGGTGTGGACTCCATGGTGGACAAGAAGGTCGGAGCTCTGATCAAAGCCCGTCCCACACTCTTCACATCTGTAGGGCTTCTTCCTTGTGTGCACTCCCTGATGAATACAAAGCAGTACGAATACAAATGCCTTCCCACACACATTGCATTTGTAGGGCGTCTCGCTGGTGTGCACTCGGTGATGGTTGTGGAGAGAGGAGTTGCACTGGAAGCCCTTGCCTCATTTTTTACATTTCTAGGGTTTGTCTCCAGAGGGGTCTTGCTGAAACCTGAGAAGGTGAGAGCTCTACTTGGGCCCTCAGCCCATTCATGGCATTCACAAGGCATCTCACCCACACGGGTTCTGTAAGGAACAAGATCTGGGCTCTGACTAAAGTCCTTTACACACTGGTCACATTTGTAAAACTTTTCTTCTCTGAGTGCTGTGATGAACATGAGGATCTGCAGCATCCATAAATCTAAATCCACGCTATTGCCTGTAAAAGATGGGAGTACTGTGTGGACCACATTATGCTGTTCAACTGTTGATTTTAAAACCAAGTTTTTCTCACAGTCACTACATCTACAAGGTTCCTGAGAACCATCATGATCAAGAGAGGGCTGGCTGAAGGTGTCCTCACACCAAGCACATCTGCACAATTTCTCTTCCACAGGAATTCTCTTATCTGTCCCCTGAGGCCCAGTCACTGTGTCACCTTTCCTCCAAGATTCTGCGGGAAGGGTCTGCGTCAGGCCCTCCCAAGCTGGAACATCTTGGTTCTCTACATGAAAGGCACTTACTACATAGTTTTCATTTTTAGAAACCTGAACAGACACCCCTACCCACTCTTCCCAGAGGGAAACATCCGCTTCTAAGTATGGCGGACGGTCTTCCTGAAGGTCTACGACGATTCCCGTAGTCCTGAGTGGCAGTTCATTCACAGGCCTTTTGTTTCCACACCTGGCAGCAGTGGAGCACTTCTTGTAAGAGGTAACTCAACGTTTTTTTCCAAAGATTCAAGATAATGTTTTTAAGCCCATTTCCTAGGAAGAGAGAGAAAATTTAGCTAAGCAAACACGTGAATCATCTGTCCAGAGGTTTCGAGAAAATCAAGCAGGATAGGGTCAGAAGTTATCCCTGGCTTCTGTTCACTCATGAAGCAACTGGCATCACAGACATTCAAACCTGTGAGCTGCCAATTAGAAATGAGGTGTTGCAGGGAAATCAAAAGAAATCCTGGGAAGAATTTATATATGAAAAAATTTACCTCCGTGATGTAAGAATGGTCAATAAAAAAACCTTTAAACAATTTGCTATAAAAGGTAGGAGAAAAGCTTCCAAATCATTCCCACAGAATATATTTATGAAGAATCCACATAATGTAAGTCTATTTGCATAATATATATACAGAAATAATACATAATAATGGGGTGTTATATTTCGTACACGGTGAGACACACAAAGGGGCACAATGACTTTCCAAGGTTCCACATAAAAGGTTGCAGGCACAAGCAACAAATCCTGTCTCCTGATAACATCCCTTCTTTCACATCACTGTCCTATGGAACAGGACAATCTATACAACTGTCCATGGGGGGCTACATCAGCAGTGGGGGTTAAAACAGGGATAATATTGTGAGATAGCCCTGGGATTGAAGATGGGATATACATGTACACCTTTCAGACAGGCTTTAAGAAACATCCATTTTAGTTTCTATAAGGTTCTCTGTCTTCACGAAGATTTGAATTCCACTGAGATCCTGCAATCCATTTCCTCTATGTTTCCCCTTTTAAGTTCTTGCAGATTACAAACAGCCATGACTATGAAAAAGAGGAATGGGAGATGTGGCAATGCTGATGGCCTGGGACCAGGGAAGGAAGACAGTATCATTACAAATAGGGGGCTGTGGAAGAAGAGGGTGATCACATTCTTATGACCCTAAAATGGGCTTCAGAATGACTGAGTACTATGGCCAAGTCCATCTGCATCCTGCTTCTGGTTCAAGGCAGTTTCTGGGCGATTTTATTGCAAATGACTTTTGTTCATAAGGTGGTATCAGGGAAAGGCAGACTTTGATCTGCTCAGAACAGGCTCAGGGTGGTGGTCTCCCAAATGTTTTGACTGTAACCCACAACAGAAGAAGCAATTATATTGCAATTCAGTACACAGATCAAGAGATACAGACAGACTCTGGTCAATTCTTTTCAGTTCTATTAGCCCATTTTGCCTTGTGAAAATTGCTGGTAATGACACAGTACTATAACTTGATTTCAGGACTGATCCATGGGGTTATATCCTAAAGTTTGGGAAGTAAGTGCAGAGACATGCAGATTTAAGCAAATAGCCCTGCATCTCTAATCTGCAGACATAACTGTTACTTTAATTTCATATGGTTATTAAAGCCCAGGGTCTAGAGCTGAACTGGGAGGGCTCCAATCCTAGTTCTTCTTACAAGCTGAGTGATCAAAGGCCAGTTATTCATCTACTCTGTATCTCAGTGGTTTCATTTGTAAAAGGGATAAATAATAGCAAGTGTCTCATAAACTAAACGACAGTAGCTCACAACTGCATATGGACCTCCAGAAATCAAAATAAGCTTAGATATTTATCCAAAAATAAGTAAATAGGTTAACGCTTAGGTTACACTTACAATATACCAGGTACTATTATTGAATACGTGCAATCCATCCAAAATTCTCCCTTTTTTCTTTTAACACTTATTTGTCCAAAACCTTGGATTTTCTCCAGAAACAACCAAGGGATCAGGCCCTTGGTGGTAATGTGAAGTTTATCGATCTCACTCAGAAAAATACGAAGGGCAGGGGCGGGCTGGGTAACTGCTCAGAGGCCACAGGCTGGGCACACAGGGTTTGGGGAGAACCCCCTCTCCAGCACCCCGTTAAGGGCCACATGCATCTGGAAAAGCTCATTAACTACAGGATTTTTCTCTCCAATGGCCAAAGTTTCTCTCTGGACTCCAGCTGGAATATTCTATCTGCTGTGAAGCTCATCATTTGAGGAAAGATGTCCAGTGGTCAGATGCTCAGCTACTCACCCACCAAGATGAGGTCTCTGAGGTTCTCCAGCATCACATCCTGATACAGGTTCATCTGGCCCTGGTCCATCAGCGCCAGCTCTTCCTCCCGATGGTCACACTCATGTCCTTGAAGGTCACGTATTCCTAAAACGCCAAGTGCACACACGCCATCCACACAGGTGACTGGCTCTGCCTGCTCAAGCTACCAAAACAAGACAAAACAGACTGGTTTAAGAGACAGAAATTTATCTCTCACACTTTTGGTGGCTGAGAAGTCGAAGATAAAGGTGCTAGCAAGACAGGCTTCATCCTGAGACCTTTTCTTTTGGTTTCTCTTACTTTGCCTTTACACAGCAGAAAAAGAAAGAGCAGACTCTCTTGTATGTCCTTCTTACAAGGACACTAATCCTATAAGATTAGGGCCCCACCCTTATGACCTCGTCTAACCTAATTACCTCCATAAAGGCCCTTTCTCCAAATAGTCACATGTGGAATTGGGCTCTCAACATAAGAACTGGGGAAGGGGTGGGGGGGGCACACAAACATTCAGCCCATAATTTGACTGCTGGAAGGAAAGCAGTTTGGAAGCTGTGCCACCTGTTGGGTACCTGTCTGCTCCAAACTGCCATCTTTAAACCACCCTGTCCTGTTGGAGCTGGGACTCTATCAATCACACTTCTAATTTGCCAGATGCCTCTGTATTAGCTTGAAACTTGAGGGACACCAGAGGGCTTTCTCAAACCTACCGGAGGAAGAAGGGGCTCACTCCTCTCAATTTGCTTTCTGTTCCTTATCACCCAATAATGCCACTGTGCTCTGATGGCAGCGATTTCTTTCTGCAGCAATGGTGACTCCTTTATGAGTTTTTCCAACACTTGCAGAACTGGTTTCACTGTGGCCCACACACAAACACCAGCACAGGCCAGTTGGTGTCCTCTCATTTGAAGTCTGGGCCCATGGCCACAGGGCTCCGTCTCTGAGCTCAGCAGCACCAGCCAGCTAGGACCCCGTCTCAGTGTCAGCTCCCTGGGCCCTTTCTCAAAGTGCTAAGTCCTAATGATTTGGTCTTTTTCCTTTATTTCCTTTCCTAGATGTACAGTTCCTCCTTGTGGTTGCTACTTCCATGACACCATACAGTCAGCTCGTTAACAATTCAGTACCTCATTAACAATTCTTTATATTGAATTCTCTGTGTTCAAATAGCTGGTACAGTTTTTGTCTCCTGAATGGACTCTTTCTAACACCAAGAAATGAGCAGCACAGAGGAAATTCAAAGTTGTGAGTGGGTCGACATTCCTCTTCTGTCCTCTGTACTGTTTATGTCACTCTTATCCGCCCATGGGCATCCAAAAGACATTGCAGTAAACATCCATGAACATCTGTCTTTGAGCACGTAAAGGAACCTTTCCACAGAATAAACCCCTAGAGCAGAGATGAGTGCATTTTGTGGGTGTACATACTTAATACTTTGATAGGTGTTGAGCCCAGGGGTTCGAGGCCAGCCTAAGCTATAATGTGAGTTCAAGGCCAACCTGAACTACCTAGCAAGACCCTGACTCAAAATAAAAAAGAACCTAATGAATCCATGGCCTAGGCCAAGATGGTTTCCAAACAGAAGGATGAAAGTGTGAGCTTGTTTGTTTTGGCTGCATGTAACAAGTTACTATAAGAAAGTGATGAGCCTGGCACAGTGGCATGCCTGTAGTCCCAGCTACCTGAGAGGCTAAGGCAGGAGGAGGCTCACTCAAGTCCAGGAAAGAAAAAGAGTGAGATTCATCTCAAAAAAAAAAAAAAAAAAAGGAAGGAAGGAAGGAAGTGAAGGAGAGAAGGAGGGGAAAAAAGATAAGGAAAAAAAGAAAAAGTGACAAGCTCAGAAAAAATTGACACAATATGAAATAATGTGTGTCTGGGAGCTTTAAAATACACTAGGACAGATGAAAAAAATTAAATAGATGTGGCAATGTTAATCTTAGAATTGCACAAGTGATACTATATATAGATGGAGGCTCATAATACTGTTTGCTTTTTTGTATGTATTTTTTTGTCTTTAATCTTCATTTCATGATTAAAAGAAGTTCCTTGCTCTACACTGGGGTGATCTGATATGTCACCCTGGTCAGGCTACAGTTCTCAGCTACTGAAGCAAACTCCAATCTAGGTGTTGCTGTGAAGATATTTTGTAAATGTGATTACAATCTATAACCAGGTGACTTTAAGGGAAATTCTTCTCCTTAATCTAGCTGGGCTTGATTCAGCCTTAAGAGCAGGACGGAGGCTTCCCTGAGGAAGAAGTTTCCCCTGCGGACACCGGCTTCGGGCTGTGTCTAGGGGTTCTAGCCTGCCCTCTAAGCTGCTCTGAGGATTCCAGACCCGCCTAGCTAGCTCACAACCAGATGAGCTGATTCCTTGAATTCAGTTGCATCATCTCTGTCTCCCACTGGTTCTGCTTGGCTGATGGAACTCTGATCAACACGCACCATTCAAATCTTCCTATTTCTGTGAACTAAACTGGTGCTGCTCATCGTGTGGTCACACATATGGCCACGTGCTTGGGTGCGATGCAGTGTTACAGCTAGAAGAGTTTCCAAACTCTGACTCTAGCTTTCTGTACTTCTCTTCACATGGGCTGGCACCTGGAGCAGCATGAACTGGACATCCTGACATCTCAGAGCCTGTTTCTTCCACAACCCCTACCTCACGCAGCTGTTAGAAGCAAGGGAAAGTACCTACACATGGTGGTCACTTGGAAAACGCTGGCTTCCTTGCAGAAAACAGACTGCTGGCTCCTCGGAACAGACAGAATATTTAAAGAGAAAGAAAGGGAATCTCATCTTACCTGGAACTTAGTCACACTGTCTTCCTGGAAAGGGCAGGATCCTGGGAAAGCAGAGTTGCAGAGAAGAAAGCACCCAAGAGTTTAGCAGGAATGAGTGTTGCTTCCTTTTTATCTGTACAATTTTCCCACAGGTTCTCCTCCCCAGGATTTCTTTTCTTTTCTTGTCACACACATCAGACTTAACTCTCACATCCTCAAGACTCCCCCAACCCTGGACCCTAACCCTAGGCCCCTGTATAATTCTCATCTCTCTCCTCGAGCTTGTGGGTCAAAACCTATACAATCTTGGGCCAGGGAGTTAGCTCAGTGGTTCCGCCGCCTGACTTGCAAGTGGAAGGTCCCAAGTTTGATCTCTGGTACCAAAAAACAAACAAAACAAAACCTATACATTCTTGTCCTTTCCAGGCTTATGGCACATTGGCATCCTCTCCATCCTCATTACTCTGAAAGAGGCTCCAGGAAGACTGACTTGGAGCAATCTCAGGACGACCGAGGCCACTTGTGCTTCCACCTCCATATGCACAACCTTTTCCTATATGGCTGGGGCCTGTGGTCTAAAACCTTATCTAATACCTTAACTCTGAGCTCTACAACTCTCTCTCTCTCTCTCTCTCTCTCTCTCTCTCTCTCTCTCTCTCTCTCTCTCATTCTCTCCCCTTGAAGCCCCACTGCCTCTGCAAAAATTGAGGACACACCTAGGACATCCTTTGCTCTGAAAACATGCACACAGACTGAGCTACAAACTCAGGAAGACAAACTCCACAGGAAGACCAAACAGGTTGCAGAAACCCTCTAAAGTTGCTAGTTGGGAAACCTGGGCGCACAAATGAAAACACTCTGTACCTATCTAAAATACAGCTGAGAAGCCAGGCGGGGTGGAGTGAGGTTGCTTAGGCTTCAGACAGTTATTCCAGGAATGGCACTGCTAAGACAGTCCAGCACACCAGCCTGCCTTATCTGTAAGACTATTTTTTTCTTCTGAGCAACTAAGGATGAAACTGCCAACTAGGACCTTAAGGCTAGCTGTACACAGTAACGCTGCCACTCACCAATCAGACCCCACAAGTTCCCTCAAGCACTAAAAGTCTAATGAATGTTCTCTCATTAAAACACTCCAGCTGGGGCCGGGCATTTAGCTCAGTGGTTCCGCCGCCTGCCTCGCAAGCGCAAGGTCCTGAGTTCGATTCCCGGTACCAAAAACACTCCAGCTGGCTTTCCCCACCCTGTGCAAACTCTTTCCTCAGGCTAAAGGCAATAAAGACCAGGGTGCAATGGAGGCCTCTCTGGGAAGAAGGCAGGTAAGAAAGGTGGACAGTAGATCTGCAGGTGAGGCACTAAAGCTATCCACCACGGGACACCTCAAGACCCTTGCTTTTTCCCCACCTGCCGAAGTCCACACAACTCTCTCCCACAATTGCTTCTTTGATCTCTCAATCTGCTCACTACTCAGATTGGTGACAGGAATGTGACCAGGGAGCCATACCAACTTCTTGAGGGATGAGGACACAGAGGAAAAGTGCAGCTGCTGCTACTGCAATTGCCCACAAAGACAAATAGAAATTTAAGTCCTATGTTCTCCCCCAAACCCTGCTTCCTGATGCCTGCCCCTAGAAGTTCCAGAAGCTGCAGACAGAAAGAGAGACTAACACAAGATCTTCCCGATGTGCCTAGCAACCCCATGCCAGGTAAAGCCCATTTCTTTTGTGTGTGGTCATGTCAAAGCTGTATTTCTGTGATCTGTGAGGGTCTGAGCCAAAGGACTCTGTGAGATCAGTGTAGGCCCTAAAGGTCTGTGGCAAGACTGCAAAAAGGGCTCTTGCCAGTTCATGCAATGCTGGGCAAACTAGGAAAAAAACACATCCTTTCATCAGTGTACCTTTCTCCCACCTGCTGGAAACTTGTTGTACTGATTTTGCCAGCACAAGATATTTTTCACTATTACCCACTGAAAAACTTTGTGTTTGTGTGTGTGTGTGTGTGTTCTTCAACTTGAACAGCACAACTGAAATGTGGTTCCCCTTGTGTGGAACTCAACCTGCCCAACTGTACACTGCAGCAGCACCCTCAGAAATCGTGTCCAAAAACTCAGTGAGACATGGCTGAGTGCACTTGACAGAGTGTAACACTGCTCGGTTCAGGTAAGCCCAACCATGGGTGAGCTTTCCTAACGACCTCCCCACCCCTCAATGAACAGACCCCTTCAGCTGCCCCCCAGGAGGCTCTGCCTTGACACATGGAAATTACCATCACCTCTTGCCTGAAAGACTGTAGTAACCTCTTATCAAATCACTCCGCTTCTGTCCTGGCCCCCTACTTTCTACACAATGTCCAGGTAATTTTTTTTTTTTGAAATGAAGACTCACTATGTAGCTGAGACTACACGAATGTAGTGGCTTCAAGTGGATTTTTAAAAGTCTTATCACTCCAGCCAAAACCATCACTTCACACAAAATTTTTCACCAGAGTCCTTTCAATGACCAAAAGCTCACATACTATCTCACCTCCTAACACCTAATTTATGACTTATCTTTCCTCTTTCTCTCTGTGCTTAGCCCCTATGGCATCCTGTTCTTTTAATAGATGGTTATGCACCCATTTCAGGGTCTTTGTGGAGGTTCCCTTTGCCAAAGACTCTCTTTCCCTAGATGTCTACAGGCCTCTTCACCTCCTTCAGGTTCCTATTCAACCACCAGCTTCTTAAGTGAAGTTATCCTACTTAACATGGCAAGTCCTTCTGCTAGCATTCCCCAAATCCCTTCTCTGCTTCATTTTTTCTCTATAAAACTTATCTGACCTCCCATTTATTTTTCTTGCTTACCTGTCTTTCTCCACCCACTAAAATATGAACTCTATGAGGACTGCGATTTTAGTTTTCCCCAGGTACATAGCAGGTGCTCAATAAAATACTTAAATGGGAGAATGACACTAACCTGAACTGAAGCTGCTCAGAGCTGGATACTGGGTTCTTCTGATACCAACTTTAGACCAGAATGGATTTTATTCCCCAGTTTGTTCATTTCATAAGTTATATGCTAAGTGCATTCAGGGCCTAAGCACACCTTGGACACCACAACAAACACTGGGGATATGGCAGTAAATAAGATG